ATCCATCCATCCATCCATCCATCTATCTATCTATCTATCTATCTATCTATCTATCTATCTATCTATCTATCTATCTATCTATCTATCTATCTATCTATCTATCTATCTATCTATCTATCTATCTATATATCTATCTATCTATCTATCTTTCTTTCTATCTATCTATTCATCTATCTATTTATATATCTATCTATTTATCTATCCATCTATCTATTTATATATCCATCTATCTATATATTTATCTATATATATCTATATATCTATCTATCTATCTATCTATCTATCCATTATAAAAAATAGCTGCCCGAAAATGATCTATAAATAACTTATAAAAAATGTTGCTTATTATAGAGTAAAAAATTAATCTTTCTGTATCGAAGAAGGCCTACTGTGCGTTTATTCAACACAACATGCAAAACTTAAACACGATGGATCCTCTAATATGGTGTACCTGTTTCAAAAGAAGTGCATTATTCGATTATAATAAGTAGGGTCAAAGTTTAAGTATGTCTTCAATGTATAATACAAAATTTTGTATTTTACACCCAGCAATTTGTTGCATATAATTGTTAATATCGTATACATCTTTTTGTGTGTTGCCTGTATAGACAGCTATATTATTAACTTCTAATCATAGTTTTGTAAAAGATGTTTTTTGTGTGTTGCCTGTATAGACAGCTATATTATTAACTTCTAATCATAGTTTTGTATAAAGTGTTTTTTGTGTGTTGCCTGTATAGACAGCTATATTATTAACTTCTAATCATAGTTTTGTATAAAGTGTTTTTGTGTATTGCCTGTATAGACAGCTATATTATTAACTTCTAATCATAGTTTTGTATAAGTGTTTTTTGTGTGTTGCCTGTATAGACAGCTATTTTATTAACTTCTAATCATAGTTTTGTATAAAGTGTTTTTTGTGTTTTGCCTGTATATACAGCTATATTATTAACTTCTAATCATAATTTTGTATAAAGTGTTTTTTGTGTGTTGCCGGCATGGTCATTTCTTTAAAATGTGGAAATAAAGTTGTTACATCTTGTATCATTCATTTATTTCAAACTGTCTAACCTTTATTTTTTAATAATAATCAATGTTTTATATAGGATTCTTAGGCCAAGAAAGTTTCTGATTAACATTGTTTTACGCCAGTTAAGTGAGGTGGGTCGTGTTTTTTTTAAAATCGTTTAAAACCCCAAGTGTTGAAAGGGCAGCTACTGTACTTGTTTCCAGAAGTATAACGGGTACCTGAAACGTACGTCTGCACAAGTACAAGATGGCTCTCAAATAACATTTTTTTTTTTTTTAAATAGCACATCTAATGATGAACCATCCGGTGCGTATGGCACTGTTTAAAAATGTATATTGAAAAAGGGGGGAGGAGGTCATTTTTTTTCTCCAAATACAGAGTATTTTTCGTGGTGACAAAACAGATTGGCCCACCCCGTTTGGAATTAACCCCAGATACGCCACGTCATCGACACACATACATGGACACACACAGTTTGGTTGAGATCCTCCTGGCACTGCGCCAGGGGCATTTCAATATCTCGCCTCTCTCATTCTCCACCACACGTGACTGATTGTATTTGATCAATAGTTATATGTGGCCAGTGTTTCATGACGCATGTGTAGTGTGTCATTATTCAGACAATCCTGAACGGCGTTGACAACATATACCGACCTGTTTATGTGGACTGCATTAGGTGTGTGGATAAGAAACAAAATCAAATCAACTCTACGATCAACACCGACTGGTTTGTAACATTCGGTTCTCGTACATGTTTTTTGAGAATACCTGTAGACATAATTTACATTTAATGTGGCTGTAACAATTAAAAGCGAAAAACAAAATCTTCCTCACGCACCTGCCCTTTCCCCACAGGTGTCGACGTCAGAATCTGACCCATTGTGACGCGATCACCAGATGTGAGATGACGTCACTGGACGCTAATGCGGTTTTTGGTAAGTAAGCTTAAGTTCTATTCATAGATGATACCCCAACGATTGGCAGAAGTTCAAACAGTGAGTAAAAGAAAAAAAAATCACCCACCTAGACACCCACGATTTTACTGGGTGAAGACGGTTTAGATGAGCAATAGATATGAGTTTAATTAAAAAAACCATTTCGAGAGTGATCAAAGTATACCATTGATTAATGTAAGGAAATTTTGTTGTTTAGTGACAAGAATACTTTAAATACATATCACGTTAAAGGCGTTTCTGAATCATTACGGTCCTGCAAATGGTGGACGTTATTCTCTGGGGGTGTCTTGAACACAGTATAAAAAACCTGGCTGATGTGTAGAGTCGTCTTGCCATGTATGTCAGAGGGAAATGTTCCGTGAACATTCTGTCATTCACCAATCTGTAAAAGATTTTGTTTAGTATACCGCACCCTCTTGGGTCAAAGGGGGGGGGGTGTTTTTTTTTGGGGGGGAACAATGGTTATTTTGTAAAACAGGGAGGGGCTCAGCTGTTGGGTCATTAGTTCCCCCACACCAAAAAAAAAAAAAAAAAAATTAGCTCGGCTATTCACAAATATTTCTAATTCACGCCAACTCCTATTAACCATTATAAAAAAAAAAAAATATATTAAAAGGTCTGCTTATGATTTCAACCTATAACACATGAAGAAAATTATAATATTTTAATATAATAGAACGCCGGGATAATCATTTCATGATACACTATTCTTTCTATTTTCACCATGGGTGGCGGTGGAGGTCATAGTGATCCGCAGTAGCAAATCCAATTCTTACTGTGCAGATTGAAATTCATGGGAGCTACCTCTTTGGCGTTACTGTGACAGCGGGATGGTTAGACACTAGGGCGAAACATCCCAAGGGAGCTAACTCACGCCCCTCCCCCCCCCTCTCCGTAAAAGGAAATGTCCCGGGAGATGTTCCATTTTTTTATGGAGAGTTTAGAGCTTTGGCTTGGGTTGTCGACGAAATTCTTAATGTAAGATTCTCATATCATGCTAATACATATATATATTTGAAAATGTTATTTAGGTGAAACTGAAGAGGAAATACTCTACGATGGGAACTGGGAGGCCGGTAGGGACAGGTGTATAAAATCAACAAACCATGCCGAGTATATTGACATTCCCGAAGATGACAAGTTTGAGGAATTGCTACCAGAAGCGTACAATACAAAAGACATTTCTTCACTCATAAGACACATGTCAAATCTTACTGGAAAAGTCAAAGTCGGCAAATTGCGCTGTACGGGATTTGTACAAGCTATACGACAAGTTATCTTCCCAGAAGGCATTTGCACGATGTGCAAAGGGAACCACTCCGGTAGAGGTTTCATATTGACTGTGACGACAGCCCTTCACGTCGTGACGGAAGCTACTGCCGCAGAGATGGAATTATCTTGGCATCAAGGCGGCTGTCCTCACCAACTGACCGTTCGCCTGTGCAGGATTGTCGAACCGGACAAAGATTGCAAAGAGAAAGATTGGTGCGCTGCGGAATTTATCATAAACGAGAAGAGGGAAACAGTGGCGAAATTGAAAGAAAATTTGGTAAAATTCCAAGAATTACAAGGGGAGCTCTACAGAGACTACAAGAACAAGAAAGGTGACCAGCTGGTCATCATTGTTTCGCATCCACATGGAGGCCCTAAAAAGTTGAGTTACTGCCCGAGTTTCCGCGAGAGGAAGATCCTGAACTACGTCAGGGAAGAACAGGAGGGGTGCCGTTACTCGTACGACGCCCCGACGTGTAGGGGAACCAGCGGCGCCCCGGTCTTTATACTTGGGCAGCCCTTGTGCGGGTACGGCTACTGGCTGGGCCACCCACACATCCACAGCCGCTGGCAGGCATCCAAAGCCATCGGCCACAGTTCGCTTGGGTACGATCACATAGACACAGAATAAAAATGCAAGAAATCGTTCCTGTTTAGTCCACGTCCACATTTCAATCTGATTTTATATTACGACACCTACATCCAGCCTAACCTAGGCTTCACATTCCATCAGATGTCACGGCACTAGTTTCTTAATAAATAATGTATCTAGAACAATTGTATAAACACTTTGAATGTTGTAAATAATTGAAACATTATCTCGTGATTGATGTGTGCCATTATTTAATCAATGATATTGGGATTTATTGGTTAATATCGACCTAAAGGTGAATTAGACCGAAGACTGTCTTTAAGTAGACAGACACGAAATATTGTGAAACAGAGAGTGTGTTGGTAAAGATGAAAACAAATTTCACTAAACAGAGAGTGTGTTGGTAAAGATGAAAACAAATGTCACTAAACAGAGAGTGTGTTGGTAAAGATGAAAACAAAATGTCAATAAACAGAGAGTGTGTTGGTAAAGATGAAAACAAAATGTCACTAAACAGAGAGAAAAAACTCACAAAAACAAATTTCAAGAGCTGCCCATGGAAAGGTCACGAAACAGACAGGTCAAGGTCATTAAGCAAACAATATAGATAACAATGAAACAAGGTTCATGAATAAAACATACAACTGAGGCATCAGGATATTGTCTTTTGTCACAAAAAATGACATAAAGGTGATTCCGAAATTTGAGTTATTGCCCATCTTATCACAAAACGCATGCCTCTGGCCAAAAAAAAATCAAAATTAATTCAAGCTGAGATTGTGTTTCTTTTATTTTAACAGCTCTGCCGTTTCTTAAACTAAATCATTATTTAATTAAACCAACTGTTAATAAAAATGTGTGCACCATCATGTTCGTGTTTTATAATGCACAAGACGTCTTTTAATGTATTTGTGTTCCTATTGATTTTAAACATTGCGATATCTGTATGACCAAGTTTTAGTTAGTGACGGTTAACGCTGTCGGGGTCGTTAAAGACTAATATAGTGCGGCACGGGGAAATTTCACATCTCCAGCATTTCGTCATGTGCCTGTCAAAGACACGACTGGATGACAGAAAACCACGGGGCCCTGGTTGTGCTGCCACTACAGCAGACACAAACAGCCAAAAATTGACATAACATCTCTACTGTTGTGTCACTTTTTTATTTCTATTTTATATGGGTATAATTCGTTGCTGAAAAGAACACTGAGATGCTTAATAATATTGTACTATAAGGAAACAAATACGTATTAAAATACATACATTTTTTAACAGAGCAATTAAGTCTTTCAATAATCATAGAATTTACAAGACTGGCTTTATGGAGACAGCTACATTTTTTATTGGAAATTAACGAGCTTGGATAGCAAAGTTCTCCTGTAATTCATGTGACGCCACAATTTTCTAGGGAAAAAAATATATTTGTGTGAATCAGAGCTAATTGAATCGGTCAATTTTCCAACAATTAATTCCTTACATATTTCCTATAATGTATGGTCGACCCCAGGAGAATTTACCTAGAAAGTATAGTCAAACCCAAGTGTATTTACCGAAAAAGTATAGTCAAACCCAAGGACATTTACCTAGAAAGTATAGTCAAACCAAAGTGTATTTACCTCGAAAGTATAGTCAAACAGTCAAACCCAGGTGTATTTACCTATAAAGTATAGTAAAACTCAAGGGTAATTGCCTATAAAGTATAGTCAAACAAAAGGGTATTTACCTATTAAGTATATTGAAACTCAAGGGTGTTTACCTATAAAGTACAGTCAAACTCAATGGTGTTTACCTATAAAGTACAGTCAAACTCAAAGGTATTTGCCTATAAAGTATGGTCGACACCGACTGAGCTGTAATTGTCTCCATCTGTACCAGCGTGGTTGTGTGGATGGCCGAACCAGTAGCCGAATCCACATACAGGCTGCCCAGCTATAAAGATCGGGCCACCGCTGCTCGCACCGCAGGTGACCGCATCGTACCGGTACCGGCACCACACCTGACTGTCCCTGACCTCCTTCATCGTCTCCCGGTCGCCGACCGTTCGACCGACGCTGACCTTCTTTGGTCCACCGTGAGGGTGACTCACAATGACGACCATGGCACGGCCCTCCTTCCGTTTATCCTTGATTTGGTCGTAAACCCGTTTCTGCAAGTTCTCCAAAGTTTCGATGTATCCACGCAGCTTTCTGGCAAGAGTTATGTCATGCGTGACGCTATCAAAAGCGCACCAATCGAAATCGCCGATATCTTTATCCGTGTGGATAACTTTGCAGCCTTTGAGGGTTTTTATTTTTCTTCGCTTTTTCCGGACTTTTTGAGAATCCTTGTTGTAGAACAGCTTGACAGAAGTATTGGCCGCCTCCTCGTGCGTACCCACCACGTGGTTCACTGTTGACACGGTGACAATCGCCCATTGGTGGCATTTCCCCTCTTTTCTGCACTTTTCCATCGGGCAGCGAGATCCCCTGGCCAGTCTGACCCTCTGCACCATGCCACTTCCAAACCTCAATTTTTCTCCATCGACTTTGATGTGAGCCGTGAGCAGTGCCATGTGAAGAAGTTGTATTCGCAGCATGCCTTGATATGGCTCGGACGGTAGCGGTAACTTGGAGATATCTTCAAAGTTATAAAACTTATCATGGTGGTTTTTTTCACACTGTTCGTAGCTCTTCTTGTAGTCTTCACACTGTTCGTAGCTCTTCTTGTAGTCTTCACGTTTTTTTACCTCAAGTATTTCTATTACACCTGCAATGTTAAATTTAAAAAAAATTATCAAAATAACTTTTTTTTTTCTGTGGGTCATAAATGAAATAAAATTATCGTCAGCATAATGAAACATGTATATAAGACGGTCACTACTGCTGCTGGTGCTGTAATAGGGTAATACTGGGATAACTTTATTAATTATTATTTTTAATAAGTGCCTTGTTCTTAAAGAGCAATTAATGCAAAAACTTACCCATGCTGTTGTAAAAAAAAGTGTATCCGATTATTCCACCTCGTTCAAGTCGACTAATAAGAAATATTTGGTCCAAAGTTTATGGAATCGATAGATGTTTGTATGGCTATGACCAGCCCTGCACTGTATGTCTAACACGGCAATGGCATGTCTAACACTGCACTTGTACGTCTAACAATGCACTGTTATATCTAAAAATGTACAGGTACGTCTCAATCTGTACTGAAATGTCTAACAATTCACTAGTATGTCTGACACTGCATTAGTATGTCTAACACTGCACTGGTATGTCAAACCTTGAATTGGTACTTCTAACACGGCACTGGTACGTCTAACACGCCACTAGTACGTCTAACACTGCACTGGTATGTCTAACACTGCACTAGTATGTCTAACACTGCACTGGTATGTCTAAGACTGCACTGGTATTTCTAACACGGCACTGGTATGTCTAACACTGCACTGGTATGTCTAAGACTGCACTGGTATGTCTAAAACTGTACTGGTATGTCTAACATTGCACTGGTGTGTCTAAGACTGCAATACTCAAACTGTAACATTTATTTTGTCCTATCGACCTGCCTTGCACTGAGTGCCGTAGATACAAAGGTTTAATGGAGCAGCTGATTATGTGAACGTTGTTACAATCGACTGTTGTACCGTAGCACAAATCACATAGTAAGTAGTTGACTCCGATCAATAGAAATATCCTGTTCCTAAAATTATTGATTAAAAATCTTAGGAGTTCTTGTAACGACCAGTGGTGTTAACATTCGGTTAATTTTAGATTTATTCTAAGAATTTACCCTATACTGATATAGTGGTTCTTATAGTTTTATTAAATTAAATTTCTTTTATAAAATTGAACATATGACCTTTGAATTTAAAGAGCATCAGCTGCTGGTTTGTTACTTTTGGAGAAAAAAAAAATGAAATCAACCTGTGAGTATCGATTAATTGGCTATAACGCCATGTTGTTTTCTGTGTATGCGTGTTCCAAGATATGAGGTTTCACTTTTATTTTAGAAGCGTTGTCGATCGTGTCGCTGAAGCGAGACGTGATATAACCTTGTCGTCATTTGACTCCCTGAACTTGAACGAGGTCGAATCCTCTGGTACTATAGGCTTGCACAGACACGTTTAAAATTCAAATTTCAAGTGGCCAACAATGAACACAATCCAGGTAATGGTTACTAACTGATAGTTGAGAGGGATGCGAAAACACTAACCATAAACGTGATTCAATGACGTTATTTTGTCACATTACTCTTTATTTTCGTTGTTCGTGGCTTTGATAGGCGTTGAGGCCATTATTTGACTCAATTCAATTTAATTACAGGGGAAAAGGTATTTTTTTATTATTTTCTTTTTTCACTGTAAAATAAAACACATGTACACATTTTTTAGTTAACATTAGGCTGCCACGGCGCCCTACCACCACCCCATTCTGAAATACGGGTGTACTTTTCTAGTAATATATACATTTTAAAAACAGTGTAAATTCTATCAGAATAATGTATTTCCTTTCAGTTCAGTTTATTGATCGTCATTCAATCGGTGTCAACATAGTGGAACGGTCCGTGTTCTCTTCTCATGGACATGAACAGCTGTCGTACCGTTTAGTGAAAGCTGTGAATAATAATTTCTAGGCTACGAGATTTAACATAAGGGCTGAAAATTTAACAATTTAAAAACACAAGAGATCTAAAGTATTCGTCTGGATTAGAAATCAGCCGCAAATGGACTTCTTGAGTGAAAATCATGATTTAATTAGTGATTTTTTAGATTTGGTATTTTAACTTCATAATTATAGAAGAAAAGTGTAGTCTAGGAGTGCGAAATGGGGTAGGGTAGGCGTATAATAAACAGCTTCTCAAAACTCAATGATGTTTGACAAGTAAACATCTTTACTTTGATACATATGTTTGAAATAAGTAACCGGGATGAGTTTTCCCAATAGCAGGTAGAAATTTACGCTGAAGTGCCTCCCGTTATTACTATAACATTATTATTTTCCACTATTTTAGATCAGTTTTATTCTTTATACCTACAGTCTATAATTAAATTTTAATGGCCATGTCATTGTTGTGTACTGAAGATATTACAAATTCCCTTGGGGCAAAAAAAGAAAGGACATTACATATATTCTTTTCCAATAAAGTCAATATTTAATGTTTTTATTCTTAGTTTTTAAAGGACTCTTTAAAAAAACTTTAATAAAAATCAATTAAACACTTGTATTGATGGCTGGTGTTGAAGTCAAATATACAAATAATAATTTTTGTTTCCTTAAAATCATTTCACAGAATTTCCCTAATTGAACCAGCAACGAGGCAATAATGTTTCCTGCACATTCGTTTTCGGGCTCAGAACTTCCAGGCAGCTTAGGAAAGGACAATGAACTGTGTAAACTGATTAAAAATATGATAAAACTTACAGGAAAAATTGAGTGTCAAGATGATGACGATAGTTGGGGAACAGGATTTGTACAAAAGATTCGCTTTAAACTCGGGAAGTGCCCCTGCCTTATCTGTAAGGGTGAAGTGTCTGAAAAGAAGTTTGCCATTTTAACAGTTAGTACTGTTGTGCACATTTTAGATGATTCTCCAGACAGGGAGGATGCATTTCATGTGGTTAGTCAGAAAATCGAAGAAGTAGGAATGACTGTGCACTATAAACAAGAACGATTTATTCAACTGTACGGCTCCAAACTGCTGGAAACAGACAAAGATCTTGGAATAGAAAGAGACTGGTGTTGTTTAGAATTCGTGACTCATAAACTGCGCGAGGTAAAAAAATTGAACACAATTTTAACGAAATATCAAGAGTTGCAAGGGAAAGTATACCAGAGATACAAAGACGGGTCAGAGAACCTTGTCGTCGTTGTGGGTTACCCTAGCCCTAAACCTAACCCTAAGTCTAACCCTAACCCTAAGCCTAAGCCTAACCCTAACCCTAACCCTAACCCTAACCCTAACCTAAGCCCAAAGCAAATAAGTATCGGTAAAATAACGCGCGAGTACGAGCCTTTAAAAGAGATACGAGATGGTCAACGCTGGGGACGATATTATTACGACGCGGAAACTGACCATGGATGTAGTGGTGCCCCAATCCTTATTCTAGGCCAACCCATCTCTGGATTCGGATACTGGTTTGGCCATCCACATAACCACTGTGTCGGTGTCCAGCCCGATGGCAATGATAGATACAGTTCAATCGGAGTAGAATATGACGTGGGTAATGGGGCTTGATTGGGAAATAAAGTAGTTGGCTTATTATCAGACAAGATTTATATGAAATGTATTAATGCACTACTGCCATGTCTTTTAGAATTTCTCTTCATCAACATCATACCTAGCATTTAATAAAGAAAAATGAAATTTTTACCTATGTTATTTTGTATATGTCCAAAACATGTCCATATAATTGATTCTATTATGTATTAATTGTAATAAATGTTATACAATTTCCTTTTTGTGCAATTACATTTTTGTTCTTGTTCTTATCGAATTAAATCAATACTATCATCATTATTTTGAGAATCGTAAACGTATCTTTTTTTTTTTTTTTTCTGATTGGTTGTGTGTACGGAACATATTTTTCGTTGTTGTTTTTTTTCAAGTCCTCCCTGTCTCTCCCTGTACTTCCTTCCATTCCTTGACTCGCTCTAACAATCTTTCTTGACTTGCTCTAACAATCTTCCTTGACTCGCTCTAACAATCTTTCTTGACTTGCTCTAACATTTGGTTGTGTGTACGGAACATATTTTTCGTTGTTGTTCTTTTTCAAGTCCTCCCTGTCTCTCCCTGTACTTCCTTCCCTCTCTCCCTCGCACACTCGCTGTCTCCGTCTCTCCCAACCCTCTTTCTTCTAATAATTATTATTGAACATAAAAAAAAAATTGAGAAATTTAAATATCTCACTAGACAAAGCTGACACTAAGAAAAACTTCAGCTCCTTTGGATTAGCGCTGGATTGATGACAAAAGATAATTACAAACACATTAAATTGTCTCAGACTGATCCCTTACATAATTACAGGACCTAGTAAGTTTCTCTTAATAATAATTCCAACACCTCTTTGATACAAAAATGTGTCTCTTGTGGAAGAGAAGGCATTACAGCCTTCTACTACTGATAATTTATCAATGCTGAAATCTCCCTGTAATTTACATATTTCCGTTAGTGGTCTGGAATGCGCTATCAACCAAGGAGGTGACGTCACTCTTACGTTAGCAATCGTCAACACTGTGGATAAAATCGCATGTGTTTAATGGTGTTTGACGTTAGAGTTCAGACAATCACTTCAAATATACTGCTGCCGATGTAATAAAATATGTAGCAATTGTAAAAAGAAATTAGGACATCTAAACACACAATGTTGTGTTTAAGATTCGATTTCCATAGTTATGTTTCTCACAGGGTGACGTGGTCATTTAAGTTCGTTACAAAACTATTCATTATATAAGAAAGTTTTACATATGGATCACAACCTGAACCGTAACAAAGAGAGAGAGATAGAGAGAGAGAGAGAGAGAGAGAGAGCTGGTCTAAAGCATGAACTAAGACGTGGCGCGGGCACTGAATCAATAGTTTCTCAGTCAATGTAGTCGTGTAAATGTGGGTTCCTTTTGGAGTGTTAATGTTTGTGACAGGTGTAAGGCACAACACTTGTGAAAACGCTATTTAAACACCCCATAATTCATCATTCTTTACATCTATTAAGTTCCCCAAAAAACAATAATCTAATGTGTTTCTTGTTTAAGAGTGATCATTGATTTAATCATTCATCCGTACCAGTCCAATATATCCTTTGTCACAAGGTCGTTCCAAAATGAACACTATTTACTGGTGTGCTGAGATAAATTTGGTAGTGACACTTTATTGAAAATAACTATTTTATCAACAAATACAGAGCTTAATTGCATTTGGAGGAATAGCTCTCTTCATTTTTAAGGGTAATATATTTTAAGTTACAACAACAACAGCAAAAAAATTATTTAAAAACTTTTTTTTTAAATTTAAAGATTAATATTTAAAACAATTATTGAAAATGTTGATATCAACAAACAAAACAATGATAAAATAAGAGTCTACATAAAAAAAAATGTAAGCATAAAAAATAAAATCATTTGAAATATGTTTCTAACATGAGTTACGTTCAATATAATAGAGCACACCGTGGTGACGTTAACAGACACGCAGAGGCGTAGCTAATCGGGACAGAAGAGGAAAGATGTGCAAGTCTGTTTGGGGCGCCACAATTTGATTTGACAGTATTTACGGATGAAAATAAAAGGTTTTAGAATTTATGGGCCAAAAATGAATCTTATCACAGGGCTTCTATTTTTTTTAAAATTAATTATTCTTCTGGAAGGCGTCTCGGCTGGGTATAGTTGATTTTTAGTGTGATCTTAACGCAGTAAATCCACCACAGTTGGCATGGTCTTTCTCTAGCCCTTGAGATTTCATGCAGTGACACACCAGATAGGGTTAAAATGGAAAATAAATTTATTCAGCTGTTTGGCACCATATCTCCATATGGTATTAATCAAATAATATCCTACTGATGCTTCTCTGTTTCCCTATATTTCATCTATTTTCTTATTGCTGTGTGTTGATGTATCCCTGGATATTCTGGTCCATTATTATTGTGGACTTCATTTTTCACAGTGTCAATATTTATATTCTCTCGCTTCCTGTGTTCCCACTCCCGGCGACACGAATGGATACTGCTTGAGTTGTCTACTGTGCTCATATTTTCATTTCTACTGTTGGCTGAGGAAGGCTTTACGCCGGAAGTCCTTGTATTTTGTCCTGTTATCTTATTCAAGCCTCCACATACCTCGTTTTGCTATTTCATTCATTTACTAAGCTTGAAAGCAGTCCTTTCATTTATATGTCTCAAGTAGGCAACTCAATGGTCAATGGAGGTCACTGGCACCTACTGATCATGAAGCGTTGTAATGTCATGGGGGCTGGTAAACATTTTCAGCTCCATTAAAGATCAGGAGCAGGATAACAATTTAGATGGAAAATCTGACTCGCAAGGATCACTTTAACATTTTCAGTATACATTTCTTCTGCTTCTTTGACTACAATAATTGTCATTGGAGGTAAGACTCCACCCCCCCCCCCTTTACACCTGCCACTGCGTGCTAATGGACGTCTGCGTCAACCAGTCATGTTATACTGACTCATGTTGATTTCTCAAGCCAACCCTTGACTGTAAGATCCCGAGCTCGAGTTTGATGTAACGGGGGCTTATCAGCGTTGAAGAGAACAGAATCGTTTCTTTACGCCTACGTACTATGTGTATCAAGAGCTGAGAATTAGGGTTGCATATTATTGCTGCGCTCAGAAGAATTTAAAACACACAACAACAAAAACGTGTTAATAGTCAAGCTACATCTTATTATTTTTCTAATTAGTTGTCAGCCTGTTTAACAATGTGCAGTTTTTCGCAACCTTTTAAAAAGTTTTAAAATGAAAACTGCTGTAAAATATTAAAGATTAAGCTCTTTTGCACATTGGTCAACAGCATTAAACATTATCAAAAAAGGTTACATCTTTGCTGATTCCTTCCGATATTAGTTGTGTACATTTGAAAAATAATTTGAATTTTTATCTCATTGATTTTTATAGTTTCCTGATCATAGGGATAAATTAAATGGTATCATTTTCTTTTGGAATGTGACCCTGTTTTATTTTAATTAGTAAAAATCCATATCTTTGGTTAAATTTTAAAAATGGATTTATTTACCCAGCTTAAACAATCACTAAACTAGGAGTGACCCCAGAATAAATATGTACAAGAGTTATAATGATATCACTTTAGCTTTTGATTTGAATTTTTATAAAATTGTCTGCTACTTTCACAAAACGTTTTCATAACGTTCGAAAAGTTTAATTTTTGAACACAAATCCGAGCAAATCAGATTATGTTTGCGAGTTTAAAAATTAAAAAAGCAATCATTGATAGACTGCAAATAATCGAATCATATAAAGTTATTATAGATTGATAGATTCAGTTACACAGCAAGCGTAAGGACTTCCTGGGGCAGGTCTAGATTTTGTCAGGGAAATCGACTGGCGTGTAAACCAAAAAGTGCACCAACGTTTGCTACACAAATGAAAATATAATTAAATGACGCATGTTTAAATATAGAGTTTATTTGTTTCACAAGGTGGGGTTTCCTTATAATCACACCCTCAACACTCCTAAGGAAACTAAAAAAAAAACGTATTTAAGTAGAGCGGATAGAAGCGAAGGAAAATGTGGCGAAACTGGAAAAGAAAAACTTACAAAACAATGTAAGATTCCAGCACGGCTTGATCAAAAGATTGAAGGTACTGTCTGAAGACTACTTTGGAAAACATCTCCCCCAAATTGACGCCTGGAAAGTGTGCCCCTTACTCCCATTGATTTCAGAGTTTCCTTCTGGTAGATGAGCTGTCATCCAAGGTTAACGAGTCCCATCCACCCAGGGTTGTTGTGATGTTTTGGCTTGACTTGAACTCCAGATCACCAACTTGAGATTGTGCTCAGTTAAGACCACTCGGCCACCCAGCAACCGAAATGCGGATAATATTGGTCAAGTGAAACATTCCGACAACTCCTGCAACGCAACTGGTGCCAAGCTGTATCATCCAAGTGATGCTCCCTTGGGTTATCCAACGACGTGGAGAGAGGCGATTTGCCTTCTAATGAACAGCTTATAATCCTTGAAGAATAATCCCAGGCCTTGTTGATTTCCGAAGCCCACACCATCGTCACATTGTGACGGACGGATGCCAGCAACAAAAAACAAAAAAAAGCTTTCGCCAAATGACAACCCTAGGGCATGGCACAAATGGAACGAATTCAGTTTATGTATGATACTGGGTGCCATAATGCCTCCCACAAAAATTTAAAAATGTCCTCACTCATTCAAAAAGTATAATATGAACATTGAATTCAAGTACACTAAAAATGTGCTCACTCGTCCAAAAGTATAATATAAACATTGAATTCAAGAATGCTAAAATGTGCTCACTCGTTCAAAAAGTATAATATAAACATTGAATTCAAGAATGCTAAAATGTGCTCACTCGTCCAAAAGTATAATATAAACATTGAATTCAAGAATGCTAAAATGTGCTCACTCGTTCAAAAAGTATAATATAAACATTGAATTCAAGAATGCTAAAATGTGCTCACTCGTTTAAAAAGTATAATATAAACATTGAAATCAAGTATACTAAAAATGTCCTTACTCCCGCAAAAAGTATAATATAAACATTGAATTTAAGTACACTAAAAATGCACCTCTTTATTTTGAAATAATCAAAACTTTTCTGCGGAAAATGCTGTCAAGACCCCCTCCCCCTCCAGCCGATCGATCAAGATTCATCGACGCCTTTGATTTCC